GCAATCCGACCTCTTATCACTCATCACCACCATTATTTTTAAAATCATCACTGTTCTCAGATCAATGACTTACATCTCTATAATCCAGGAATCTCTATCTGTAATTGTTACCTGTCATACTAAGTATGCTCATAATAGACAAGTGGACACTATACACACCTTTTTCTACTAATCAGATGGCGTCAATGTTATATAAATAGGCAAGGGATAAAATAAAGGAAGTGTCTACGTACTCCCCGATTGGGGTCTACGTAGTCATGATGTGTAGGTGGACCCAAACATGTTGGATTGTGATTGGCTCGCTGAGCGAGCGGTAGTTTACATTGGTTACAATGCAAGGCTGCTAGGCCTACTTACTGATCATCTCGGGTAGCATGTCCCGCATGTCTATCTTGTGTTACTATAATTAATTTATTTTAGCCAAGAGAGAGAGAGAGGGAGAGAGAGAGAGAGAGAGAGAGAGAGAGAGAGAGAGGGAGAGAGAGAGAGAGAGAGAGAGAGAGAGAGAGAGAGAGAGAGAGAGAGAGTATTTAATGGATAAACGTATCTAGATCTAGATCTAGATTTTGTTGTGCACCCAGCCAAGAGTGTGCAGTTACAAGTATCTTGGTGTAACAATCGACCACAAACTTGACTGGCATCCCCACGTTGCTCTTGTGCATAAACAGTAAATCAAAGAATGTTTCTTTTAAGGAAATTAAGAAGTTTCCGTTTTGACAATAAGATTATGTCCCTTTTTTACCATTCTATGATTGAAAGTGTGCTATTATTTTGTATTTGCTGCTGGGGTGGAAATTGTAAGGTGAAAGATAAAGAAAAATTTGACAGAACCATTAAGAAAGCCAGCAAGATCTCTGGATATGATTTTATAAGGATGGATGAAATGTATAACACCACACGTATAAAAAAGATAAAAAGCATTATAAACGACCCAACACACCCCTTTTCCTCACGTAGCGGCAGATATGTACAGAGGAAACCTGATATAACAGGGATGATGGGAGTAGAGAAAATGTCCTGATATATCCGATCCCTGTTAAATCAGAAATGCAAGTGGACTAATTCAGCTGTACTTATTATTCATGGGTAGTTTCCCTTGCCACAAGTACCCACGAACAGTGGTTTTGGCACCAACTTTCTCCTTGCCTCCGCATCAGAAGAGCTTGGTCCACAGCATCTGCATCGGGTAGTCTCATCTTCTTTCGATCCAGAGCAAACTTTCCATTGGAGTATGCTGCCACTATCTTCTCTCTACCCTTGATAATGGTGTGAATCGACCCTGGAGGAATGTCGAACTGACGACAAATCTCTGCCTGTAGAGCCTGCTTTTTGTAAACAGTCTGAATTATTTCGTATTTTTTGTCAATTGAAAGGCATTTTCTCTTGCGCTTGACATCGTTGGTGACATTATGCGTGCGTGTTGCTTGGTTTCGGGCTAGATCGAGGTCTGCAGCACACCGCAGCCCTCTCTCGCTTCACACGCTGCGTATGCTCGCAGTGGCATGGCTTGCGTGGGCTTGCTCCATCACCACGTTACTCTCTCTCTCTCTCTCTCTCTCTCTCTCTCTCTCTCTCTCTCTCTCTCTCTCTCTCTCTCTCTCTCTCTCTCTCTCTCTCTCTCTCTCTCTCTCTCTCTCTCTCTCTCTTCTTTTTTACACTTTGTTGACGAGCCTTTGTCCCTGCTATAACCGGTTGGGCTGCGATGATGTCCTGTTATTGCCGATAACTTTTAATAGAGACAAAGAGTAGGAAAAAAACCGGGCCTGTTATATATGGTTTCCACTGTACCTCCAAAAACAATAGGTTTTGGAAGGTCTTGTAAAGCCAAGTTCCAGCTACTCGTAGGCCTGGTCAGAAGCTCTGTGGGAGTGTTTGAAGCTATTCAAGCTTCTTTAATTGAGCAAAAGAAACATAGTTAATAATATTGTGTCGATGGGGGCTTAAGAACACATTATTTAAAAAAAAAAGAAACTAAACACCAAACAACATTTTAAAACAAAGCTACGGCCCTCCCCCCCCCCCCCCCAACCAACCCCATACAGTCAGCGCTTGAAAAGTTAAAACTGCCACTGCCAGAGTCCAGCACCGGGTAGCCTAACTGTTGACTAGAATCTAGATTATCTAG